TTTGTTGTGTGGGTGTGTGTGTGTGTGTGTGTGTGTGTGTGTGTGTGTGTGTGTGTGTGTGTGTGTGTATTTAGCTATAGTTTGTGAACAAACTTTTGGGGACATTTAGGATGTCCTCATTTGGAAAAACAATTTGTAAAAAAATTAAATTATATATAGGCTGGTCAGTAGTATTGTTTATTGTAATTATTCTGTCTACACCAACAAAAAAAAAGAAACAAACTATTTTCACAATTAATTACAATGAAACCGCATGTAACACATTGAATTAAATGGGAAATGTAGAAAGTAGAAAGACTGAAATAGTATTTTCTTGTAAAACATACTCCAATATTCTGTTTTATTTACAACAAAACTTTTTTTAATTTTTTTAATTTTTGCAGTGTATCTGTCTGTCTGTCTATCTTTTATTTTTATTTATTCATTTGGGTTTATTGATCCTACTTGCAGATTAAGCTTACAGTTTCCCAAGGAAAAAAAAAATCTAAAAATACACTACCATTCAAGTGTTTGAAAAGTCTCTTTTGCTCACCAAGGTTGCATTTATTTGATCAAGAATACAGTAGAAAGTAATACTTTGAAATATTATTACAATTAAATGAACTAATTTGGTAACACTTTGTTTTACAGTGTCATTGTTACACGTTACATGTACTTCCTAGAGTAATAACAAAAATTATGCATAATTACGTGCAATAATGTAACCCTATTGTAAGTACTTGTTATTAATTAATATTACTCAGTACTTAAATGTATAATCACGCTGTAAACTTCGGATTACTATTTTAATATATTTTAAAATGTCATTTATTGCTGTGATGCAAAGCTGAATTTTCTGCAGTCATTTCTTAAGTCTTCAGTGTCACATGATCCTTCAGAAATCATTCAAACACGCTGAAACATTTATTTTTATTGTCAGTATTGAAAACAGTGCTGCCTAATATTTTTTCATGGACACTGTGATTCACCTTCAGGAACTCGAGCTGCGTCGAGATTCGCTTTGGGAACGCCCCTGCGTGACCGCGTTCTGAAGCACGTGTAAAATCAGTCCAATGGAGCAGCGAGACGTCACGAGCGGGGTGACGTGAGCGCCAGGAAGTATAAAAGCACATCCGGCAGAGTGCAAGTTAGCTTCTGCTCTTCAGTAGCGCTCTGTGTATGTGTCAGTCTATTTACTGTTGTCTGTCAGTCCACAAGCATTCAAAAGAATATGTCAAAATCTAAACTAATATCTATGGCGAGCAAACGGCATTACAGACGTTGTGTGCCTCCCTGCCCACGCTATCTGGCAGCGGGGGATACACACGATCTGTGTGTTGTTTGTTTAGGAGCGGAGCATGCACGGTCAGCTTTCGAGGGAGCTGATTGTCATCACTGCGAGTTACTCTCGCTGCGTATGCTCTGCTCTCGCCTGGCTGTGTTTGATGAGAGCGGCCAGGCTCGCGATCCCGCTGGCAGCGGTCCCGCTGTTGCCAAGGCACGGCGTAGACTGTTGTCGTGGGGATCGCAGGTGGATGTAGCGGAGGGATCCGAGACGGGCTCGTCCTTTTCTCGGTCCTCACCCGCTAGATCCGCGGCTCTCTCTCAAGGTTCGGAAGCCCGTGCTGCGGTTTCTTCCCCCCCCAAGCCGGCCCAAGCCGTCAAGCTCCTCATATCGCCAGTCTCAAAAACAGAGGGGTCCATCTGTTGCTAGTAGCCCCGTTCTGGCCGGCCTGAGTATGGTTCTCGGACCTGGTGTCCCTCCTCGACGACTCTCTGCTGGAGATTCCGATCAGGATGGACCTCCTCTCTCAGGCGGGGGGCACCTTTCTTCACCCCTGCCCGGAGTTATGGAAGTTGTGGACGTGGCCCCCGAGGGGGCACAGCTCCTAGCATCTGGTCTCTCAACTGAGGTTGTTGAGACTA